ATAACGAAACATATAAAATCAGAATTTTGGTGTTTATTGAAGGTAAACTAAATGCACGAACAAATACTTACCATGCCGGGATAGTATTATGGGGTTTTTTTCCTGGTTTTTCCCTCATAATTTACTATGGAATCACTAACAGGAGAATTTTACTGTCATCATGTCATGTGTTTGTCTTTTTAAAGACGAGTTACCTGCTATGATTTTTTTCTGACGGATATTCTCACGTTAAAGTTGATTTCATGTAATCGAATGAACTATCTTATAAGTAAAGTCGTCCCAGGAGCGCAACTCAACAATATTGGCAATAACTTTAAATGCATAATGTATGTCTGAATTGTCAATATAAATGAGTCAGATAAAATTAAATTATTAGAAGAATTTTTCACTATGTAACAAAAAACAAAATTTGTTTAATTTACTGTTTGTATTTTGAGAACGATTTCCGAAGTGGAAATTGAAACGTCAATAAACGTATTTTATCTTTAATTGTGGCTTATTCCCAGTTAAATAGTAATTAATTTAAAATGCCACAAGAAAATAGCTTCAGAACAATATTAATTTATAAATGATATTAATTTTTTTATTAACCAAATAAAATGTTCAAAAGTTCAATAGTTTAATTTAGCCTCAGGGATAAATAAATTAAATAACTTTCCAATTATGTAACCGAGGGAGGGGGAGGGGGGGGATTTCGCACAAATTTAAAAGAAGGTAATTCCTCGACGTTCAAATGTTCAAATATTTTATTTTGTTAATAAAAAAATTAATAAAATTCATAAATTAGTTCAAAAAAACTGCTTTTTGCAAATATCTCCGTAAATTATTAGTCAATTTTAATTTAAAAAACGAGAAAATAAAGATATTCTTTATATAAAAAATGATATAAATATTGTTAATGTAAAATATAAGGGAAAAAAAACAAATTGTAACCATAAATTATTGTTTAAATTCTCGTTCGTCATCTAGTAACCCCCACCTGTCCTAAAAGCTTCAGATATCTGCGAAAAATTCGGCCTTTTTTAACCAGACTGGGCTAATACTGATGAAGACCAATATATCAGAAATAGCCCAGGGAAATAAGCATTTTTTCAAAATTTTTGCTTTTTTCGTCTATCAGCAAAAAATGAAGCAATTTAAACAAATTTTAAAAGAAAGGAAACTTATAAGTTATATAAAAACCTTCAAAATGGCGTTTTCAAAATGTTTCTATCCTTATTTGTCGCTTAGAAAGTTGCAAAATAAGTCAAAAATTTCGGTTTTTTATAAATGTTATAATTTTTTTGAGAATAAACATATAATATTTATATTTCACGGAATGATGTGTCTTGTAGTGCTTAAAATAGGGTTAAAATTTCAAAGTGATCGGTCCAATAGTTTAAAAGTTATTTTATTTGTTTATCCCAAATTAACATTTTTTGCAACAATATAAGTGAGAAATTTATACAGTTTTAGAAATTGTAAGGGTTGTTCCTGGTAGAAGAAGACTTGTTTTATTATTTATATTAAAAAAAATTAGGAAAATTAATTTTAAATATTGCAAAATAATTTTGCAAAAACAAAATCTTACAGGGTGTCTTTGTTACAATCTTACAGGGTGTTCTATAAGATGGTGGCAGACCAAACTTATGTTTTTTAAATGAAACACCCTGTATTTTATTTTAAATTTGAAATCTGCTTAACTTCCACATCACAACAATGTAAAGTTTTATTATGTTATACCGGGTATTTAAAAAGATATAACCAATATTACCTGAAAATCGTATCAAGTTTAACTCCCTGTATAATTTTTCCATCAAAGTAGAAATTTTGAAATTTTAACGTTTACCAATAATTATTGTGAGTTGACCATGATTGATTTGTCAGAAACTGGCAGTTTGACATTATTGTTTATCATTTCAGTATTGGGGTACATCGTAAATTAGCAACAATTATTATTTAGCAGTTCAATAATTTATTCAATTTAAATTAGCAATAATGAATTTTACTACTTAGAAATGATAGATAAATATGATCTGGATATTGGGGAAATGCAATAAAAATTCATTACTATCAGCTAGAATTTATCATGAACGGTTTCCAGATAGGCGGCAACCTAGACAAGATACATTTGAAAAATTGAAAGATCGATTTAACCGCACTGGTTCAGTGAATTATGAAAAATATGAACGAAAAAAAACTAGTGTGGCAGAGGAAAACGAAATGAGTGTGTTGATGGCAGTTACAGAAAACCCACTCACAAGTATAAGGAGTATTTCCAATAAGCAAGAACTTAGTTACTACTCTGTTCAAAACATTCTATCTAAAAACAAGATGCACCCATATCATAATCAAAAGCACCAAGAATGAAATGATGATGATTTTCAGAAACGAATAGTCTTTTGTGAATGGGCCTTAAAAAATTAATGAACAGAGATTTTTTGATTATATCATATTTGGTGATGAAGCTGCATTCCACTGAAACGGTTCTGTTAATACTCATAAATAACTTTCACTACTATTCAACAAGTAATCCATACTAAATAGTAACACATAGTCAAACAAGATAATCTTGAAATGTGTGGGGAAGTATCGTAGGTAACCATGTAGTAGGACCATATTTGTTTAAATATAACGTAAATGGTAAGATTTATTTAGATTTTATCGTACATCAGTTACCGATATTATTAGAAGAGGTTCCAATTAATATACGTGAACAAATGTGGTTTCTACATGAAAGTGCTTCTGCGTACCACGAATTAGTACGTGGTGAACTTAATGATCAGTATGGTGAAAGATGGATCTTAAGGGGTGGCCCAAGATTGTTTTCTTTTCTGTGTCGTTATCTCGTTACTGAATTAAAAAACAATAATGTCAAACTGTCAGTTTCTGAGAAATCAATCATGGCCAACTCCCAATAATTATTGGTAAAAGTTCAAATATCTACCAAATTAATACTTATCTAGAAAATTGATAACTTTAGGTATAGGGAGTATTCCATAAAATGTAAAGTACGATATTAGTACTTTTCGATAGTGACTTAAAATACAGGGTGTTCTATTTAAAATTATCAAGAAAATAATGTACTTGCATTTTGACTTATCCTGTATTTGATTTAACGAATATTATGAAAACGAATATGTTTTATAATTTTTAACAATTACTAAAAAACTATGGTTGCAATAGATCAATGGTCCAACTCCTTTTTAATGATACAGTGAGTTAAACTTAATACGATTTTCAGGTAATATTGGTTATAACTTTTTAAATATCCGGTATAACATAATAAAACTTTACATTATTGTGATGTGGAAGTGAAGCAGATTTTAAATTTAAAATAAAATACAGGGTGTTTCATTAAAAAAAACATAAGTTTGGTCTGCCACAATCTTATAGAACACCCTGTAAGATTGTAACTAATTTAAAAATGTGGAGTTTAAAGCTGTCTACAATTTTTGTCAATAATTTTTTTTTGTAATTTTTACTATAACAGATCTACTGAGTTTCCTCATACTAATCAATCACCCAAAAGAGTTACCAGAAAAATTTTCTACCAAGTAACCAAAAACAAAATTTGATTAATTTATTAATGTTCTGAATTCTGGGAAAGATTTCCGAAGTAGAAATCGAAACATCAAAAATAAACTTATTATAACCTTAAATTGTGGCTTAGTCCCCAAAATATAGGAAATGACAAGTACTTCCGTTTTACATTCAAACTTACCTTAAATACTACTAAAAAAATACAAATTAGGTGGTTTATTTGACAATTTATTTATTGAAATAATGCATATTCGTAATGTACGCAAAAAGTACATTCAAAAAGAAACGTTGAAATACATAAAAAAGGAACAGAGATACAGTTAACAGCGCCTTCCCCTCCCTTCAGCTCCCGAGAGTTTCAAAGCCGACCGATTTTACATACATTTTGAAGCTTTCTGGAGGATTCCATTAAAGGGCAATAATTTTAAAATTTAGTACTTTAAAACTATAATGTATATTCTTTTAAATAGCGCTAATTAGATTTCTTAATTGTTATAAACAAAGGTGCTATGAATTAAATAAAAAAAGAGGCTAACTTTGTACCAAATTATTTTAGAACAAATTTTTTTTATTTAAATCTGTGAAAAAATTCAAGCTTTTGAAATATGTAAAAATAATATTTTTACAGTCAATGGTTAAAAAGTTATTCTAATTGTTTATAAGCAAAAAATCGACATGTTTTTGCAAAATTATTTTGCAATATTTAAAATTAATTTTCCTAATTTTTTTTTTAATATAAATAATAAAACAAGTCTTCTTCTACCAGGAACAACCCTTACAATTTCTGAAACTGTATAAATTTCTCACTTATATTGTTGCAAAAAATGTTAATTTGGGATAAACAAATAAAATAACTTTTAAACTATTGGACCGATCACTTTGAAATTTTAACCCTATTTTAAGCACTACAAGACACATCATTCCATGAAATATAAATCTTATAAGTTTATTTTCAAAAAAGTTATTAACATTTATAAAAAACCGAAATTTTTGACTTATTTTGCAACTTTCTAAGCAACAAATAAGGATAGAAACATTTTGAAAACGCCAGTTTGATGGTTTTTATATAACTTATAAGTTTCCTTTCTTCTAAAATTTGTTTAAATTGCTTCACTTTTTGCTGATAGGCGAAAAAAGCAAAAATTTTCCGTTTTTTGAACTTACTTTGTTAATAACTAATTTAGTCCAAAAAATCGACTGCAGGAAACATATAGGTTTTTGTTACAGAGGTCCACACTACTTAAAACAACTGTCGTTTGCCTGGCCGGACGAGTGTCAAAAACACGGTACTTTTTTTGCTTATTTCCCTGGCCTAAAATGCTTATTTACGGTCGCCTTCTATAAGTACATATGAGTGGATTTTTTGTGATGATATCGTTCTCAGAAGGTATCTATATTTCCCATCATACGCACTGTTTATCTCTTTCAGTCGTCAACCAAAATGTTGAAATTTCTGGATTAACTATGTTTATACTTACATCTAACAACGTCAGTGAATAACTAGCAGAATGTAGTACGCAGAAGAGGATAATTGGTACGAGTACCACTGTTTTGCGATTAAGGAAAATAAAGATATAAAAACGCAAAATAGGCTACTTAAATGATAGATCGCTCTAGAGGTTAATTACAATCATTGCGCTGTTTCATGTTCAACAGGTCAACAAATCTAAACTTTTTGAAGTAAATTTGATGACAATTTTAACTAATTACCGTAAAATTCTGTTCTTTTTGTCATTGGAGAATAGAGGTGAAAAATGATTTAGTAAATTATGTGAATAAAATTGGTAGCGAGAATCTATACATGAGTTGTCATATTTGAAACGAAAATCATTAATCTTCGACTTGTCATTTAAAGCATCTTTTATTTATTTTTAGTTTTTTTTTTTTACTTACAAAAATCACCCAATACAAATGAAAATTATAAATTCAAACTTTAATGAATGGAAGAACACTAATATTCCCGGAAGGGATATCTCAGATAGGAAATTTTCGTGTAAGGCGCACCTCGTAAATGTCACCACTAAAGCAACAAAGGCTCTATGGACGTGCCACAGGCTTTATGGTAAAACAAGGGGTTTGAAATATAAAATAATTTCATGGTCATATACACTGGAAGGCAAAAAAAGTGGCAACCATATAAATTTCCGAAAATAAAAATTAATCGGAAGATTTATGCACTGTTTCATATTGCCTCTCAAGTTAAATATTTATTGCGATCATGAATGTTTAGTTTTGACAATTTTGATGTTTATGTTGTTGTCTGTAGTCGCTGTTTATCTTGTAAGTTGAAAACATTTAATTAATTAACAACTAAAGTGCCACAATAGAATGTAAAAATAGGACACGACTGGCCCACTTTTTTTTTCGGATTTTTGTTGTAATACTCGTTTTCTGAAATATAAATAATTATTTTGCATTCAAAAAAATATTTAGCTCAATAGAGCGAATATTAAAAGTGCGAGGCCACGTAGGTCCCGCAAGGCCAGAAATTCTAAATTTCACATTTTTGCCCAGCGAGACCAACGTGGCACCGCATTGCGTCAGCACTTTATAAAAGCGCAGACAGGTTTTATGACGTTGTCTGCGAACTGCCGAGTACCGATAGAAGTTTATTTATCTGTAGTTGCGTTTTGTTAGTCTTACGAATAACATCTACCGCGTTCTCGTTATGGATAGTTACGAAAAGGAACACAAAAGATTAGAAGAACTTTGGCAAGAAATTATGTCAGATGAAGAAGTTAATTTTTCTAGTGAATGTTCAGATAATTATATACCAGATTTATCTGATTCGAGTGATTCAGATTGTGACGTACGTGTAATTAAAAAAAGGAGAGAAACAACAGTTAATAATGCACCTTCTACTTCATCTTCAGTTAGTAATTGTTCTGTAGACAAAACAATAGAGGAAGTAATTAAATCGTTTAGTGTAGTGGAATCAAATGAAACAGAAAGTGAACAATCAAACTTACCTACGATTACTTGGAATCCAGTAACAGGGCAAAATTTAAGAGCTATTTCGTTTACTTTGCAAGAATATGGATTTCTGCCTGAATTATACGAGAACTATTATAACAAAGGACCATATGAGTTTTACTGCTTATTCTTGAACGACAATCTAGTAAATATGATGGTAATATTATAGAAGTAGGTTAATCTATTTTATAAAACGTATCTTTTCGATTTTAGGTTACAGAAATTAACAGACATGCTCAACAACAAGTTGAAACAAGTATTCATCCAAACTCGCGTATTACACGTTGGCATGATACTTCTCCGGAAGAAATTCGTAAATTTATTGGTGTTGTATTATGGATGGGTCTATGCCAGTATTCTAATATCCCAATGTACTGGTCCAACAATGATTTATTTCAGAATTATATTCGTAAAATTCTATCTCGCAATCGATTTCAAATATTGCAAAAGATGCTACACTTTAGCGATAATTCTGTAAATTCCGATGATAGACTCCAAAAAATAACACCAGTGATTACAAAATTACAGGAATCTTTTCAAAAATATGTCGTTCCTGGTGAATACCTATGTATTGAAGAAACACTAGTTCCGTTTAGGGGTCGCTTAAATTTTAAACAATATATAAGTAACAAAAGGCACAAATTTGGTATTAAAATTTTCAAGCTTTGCCTAGAAGGTGGATACACCTATGATTTTAGTGTTTATTGCGGAAAAGAGTTTGATAAAGAACAAAGTGTACCTTCCAAAATAGTTATGAAGTTAACAAACAATTTGCTGGACTGTGGTCGTACTCTTTGTACCGACAATTATTATACATCTGTCACGTTAGCTCAAAATTTGCTAGATCGGCATACCAATTTAATTGGTACTTTACGCTCCAACAGGAAATTAAATCCCAAGAACGTGACAGAAAAAAAAATTAAAAGGGGCGAAAGTGTAGCTGAAGAAAGTAACACAGGAATAATTGTTCAAAAGTGGAAAGATAAAAGAGATGTACTTTTACTAAGTACAAAATATACCGACGAAATGATTACAATAAACAAAAGGGGCCAGGAAATTCAAAAACCAAAAAATGTTATGGAGTATAATAAATATAAGTCATTCATCGATCTATCAGACCAAAGCAAAAGCTATAACAGTTTACTACGTAAAAGTTTTAAATGGTACCGCAAACTTTTTATTGAACTAATAACTGGTACAGCTCTTGTAAACGCTTATATAATGCATCAGAAAATTGCTAACGAAAAGATGACTATTACTGATTTCAGAATATCACTTATTACGAGTTTACTCGGCATCAAGGAGGAAAATGTAAACTTTTTAAAAGTGAAACTGGAACAAACCATGAAGTGGAGATATCAAAATGTAAACATAAACATTGAAGACATTGACCAGCCAGCCAGAGAACACAGGTTAGAAAAACTAGGTAGAACCGGAAGACGTAGATGTAATGTATGTTTTCATAAAATATATAACAAATCTGGAAGAAAAGAAGCAAACAACAGAACACCCCAATCAGACCTAAAGTGCTGAGCCTGCTCTAAACATTTTTGTTTAGATTGCTTTTTTGATAAACATAAGGTTACCAAATAATACTTTTTACCTTTTTATGTAAGTTGGTTATTTCCTTACAATTACCAAAATTAATTAAAATTTATTTTTTATAAAGTGCTATTTTTTATAAAGTAGTATGTATAACCATTATTATTAGTTACCTGTTATGTAAGAATTTTTTTATGTTAATTCTATTATACGATCGCATTCAAATACCATTAAAAGATGTAAAATTTTAGTTAATTTTTTATTCAAAACAAAAGAAGATTTTACAGCCATGCGAGACCGCATTGGTGCTGCTTCGACATGGACCCAATGCACTTTCGAACATTTCAGGCCCACTACTTTTCGTTTCCATAAGCACAGTAGATATATGAAGCACCAGTGTGGTCTCGTGAGGCAAAAACGAATAGTCGGCCTAGCGAGACCATGATGGTCTCGCGTAGCCGAAGTACAAGAAAGTGAGCGCGACCACGTTGGTCTCGCTTGGCACTTTACGTGTTAAACAATAATTTAACTTTTCAAACGTGGATTTCGAGTAAGTGATTAATTCAGATAAGGTGTTATCTACAGTAGATGTTCGAATTATTGCAGTGCTACAAGATGGAAGAAGTCAAGTTTATGTATCCGAAACTTTAGGTATTATAATGGTTCCTGTCATAGAAGAGTTTAACTGTGATGAAACTTTTAAGAAATCGTCATTCCATTGCAATTCCTGCAAAAAACCATCTGCAGAAGGTTCGAAATGTGAATGTAAGTGAGAGAACGGTTAGAAGACGCCTTAATGAAAGAGGAGTAATGACAAGAAGGCCGGCTATTGTTCTCGAATTACAACCCAGACACTGTAGGAATCGATTAATTTTTGCCCGACAACTTCAACACTGGGATATAGAAGATTGGAGCCAAATTCTCCTTACTGATGAATCGCAGTTTTGTTTGAAGTCTAGCGATGGCCGTAAGAGCGTTTGGAAACGATGAAATAAAATATATGCCCAAGCTTGTATATCCCAGAGAAGTTTGGCGGTGGTGGTGCCATGGTTGGGGCTGGAATCTCATTTGAAGCTTGAACTGAACTTATTTACATCAATAGCCCCCTGAATGCTTACTGGTATGTAGAGGATGTTTTGGTAGAAGAAATAATCTACTTGGTCTATTTATTGGAGATAATTTCGTCTTTATGCATGACAATGTACGGCTGCATACTGCAAGAATCGTGACAAATTACTTAAGAGGAGTTAGGAATTAATACTCTAGAATGGCCAGTCTGTAGCCCTGATCTGAATATCATTGAAAATCTTTGGGATGAACTGCATCGTAAAGTTAGAAGTCAACCAGGCCAGCCAGAAAGTCTTGCAGAACCACAAAACATGCTTCGTGAAGAATATGAACGTATTTCTCAAGTTTTTATTCAAAATTTGTTCCCTTTCAAATCGTATGCAAACGGTTATTATTATTTTAGAGCATAATAACCGAGATCAGACAATTTTGTTCAAGATTACTCGTAATTAATGTTTGTAATTCGTTTCGATATTACACTATTTTCTTTTTTAGCCTTCTAATTAAATAAATGATACTAGTAATATAGCAGTGATGGTCATTTTTTGTTTTAAAAATGAAAGATATTGGGAATACAATATGAAACGGTGCATAAAACTTCACTGATCATTAACCAATGGATTACTGCTACTAGGAACAGAAGATTCATTTATACCGTCGATGGTGACGTGGTTTGTGTGGTGGTTGGTGCGGAGATTGGAGCGGAGGTTGGCGCGTTGGCGGGTGAAGCAGGCGATATTTTCTTTATGAGAAGTCTTAATGTCAAAGGTAACCGTATGCCGTCATCTCTTTTATTGAGACAATTTGGCTTTTTTTCAATGTCTATAATTTCTCGTATAATTTTTGGTTTATAGAAGCGGGTGGGAGCTATGGTTCTGGAGTTATTAAAATAAATTTTGTTACCTGTACGAAGATGGTGTCAACCTAGAGCTGAAATTGAATCGTAATTGAGAACAGAAATGAAATGTTTATAAATCCTATTTTGGATTCTATGAATTTTTTGCCCTATATAAGAGTGGGGGCAGTCTGCACAAGTAATTTCATAAACTCAGTGTTGTTCATTTGCAATGTTGTCTTTGAATGATCGAACAAGAGATAGAAGTTTTTGTCAGGGATATATAATATCTTTATTCCTCTTGATTTACGAATTTTGTCGATGTTGAGAGTGACATATTTTGATGTATACAAGAAAAGCTTTTGTATGATGAGGGGTCTGAGTCTTTGGGTAGAGATTAAGTGGGAGATTAATGTCTGTGGATGCTCCTATTGATGTGATTTTCGCGGTAACCCGATTTGGATGAGGGCGCGTTTTAAACTAGAAGGCTCAACGGGTCTACTTGCACCAAGGCAAAGGCGTATTGATCTGGAGACAAGGGTATTAATGACTGAATTGATGGTGAAAATACATGATAAGAGTGGGCATGCAAGTAACTATTAGTAAGGGTGGATATACGATAAGCAGAGTGATGAAAACATTGGGATTGGTTTTTCTTTATGATAACGTCAAAAACAGTAGGGATGAATCAGTTTCCACCTCCATCGTGAACTGGATACTGGTAACATGGAGCCAAATGACGAATGTATCGTCAACATATCGTAGCCAACATATGGGTTTGAGCATTGATGTACATAGTGCTCGGATGTCGAAGTCTTCCATAAGTGTTGGGCATACAATGTTTAATAAAAAATACGTGGTCTTGCTGGATACTGTATTTAGTTTTCAGAATGTTTGCAGTTTCGTCTATAGGAATATTTGTAAAGAGTGAAACGATATCGAAACTTACTAGAATGTCTGACGGTGGAATAGGATATTGTTTAAGAAGGTCGATAAAATAAAAAGAATTTTTGACCAAAGATGAAGCATTGTCGGTGAGAGGTTGTACATTTTTGGCCAGTGGTTGGGTGGAGCAATGGTTAGGGCAGTTGTATGCACTGACAATGGGACCTAGACGAATATCGGGTTTGTGAATGATAAGCCATATATTCGAGGTGTTCTGAAAGACTTTTCACGAGGAATTAGAGATTGTTTTATGTCAAAAATGCAACGATGTGATAAGAGTAATTATTGTACGGTCTGAGTACTGGTCTACTGAGTAGTGGTCAAGAAAACCACGACGGAAATTCAGCAAGCATTCTAAAATGTCCAGCGAGCGAAAATGAGCGTCGCAGAGAGGAAAAATTATACCTGTTACATCAACACCTCAATCCAAAGGGTTTTTGAGTCCAGACGATCTTTTTATTTACAATTTACAACTACCTAAATAAAAAAAAGATGTTCCTCACTAGTGTTAAAAAATCATATCGACCTGTGTGACATATCGACCGCTTACCGCCAATATCTCCTATCTACATAAATAGAAATTGTGCAGGAGGAAGAAAAAACTAATTATTTTTTTTATTTTTTATATTACACAACCCTGCTTCTATAAGGTAAAATACTATAGCTTTTTTCATATTTTAATACAGTTACTATGTGATTGTAAGTAATATAAGTTTACATATTTGACTTAGGAGAAATTGGTAGTATAAAATTGAAACTGCAAGGAAGTTGGTAGTAAATGGAATTTTATTCAAAATGCATATTCACAACTAAAGATTTCATTCTAACGAAAATAAAAGATTAAAGTTTACTTATTTATGTGGCAAGGAATCATAGAAGCCATGACAGTCAGGTGGTATGACCGTTTTAAGTTCCTGCAGGTGTTTAAATTTGGTGGCCGTTATAGGTATTGGTGTGTTGTGCATAGGTTTATATTCCGTAATGACTGGTATTTGCCGTGGTCGTAATGGTAAGTCTGTCCAATCATCATCAAAGTTGAGTTTAACTTGGATGCTCCCAGTAGGTTTGTACATAATTGCTTTAATGTCTATTACTCTCGGGTCACCAACCTTACGGCCAGGTCGTATAGTTGTGTATCTCCAGGTTGACTCATCTGCGTAATTTTTGAAAAAATTGTGTGGAATCATCAGAGCTTCATATGGAAAGGGACGGGTTCTAGCTTCTTTTGTCACTGCCAGGTAATCGCTAGGTAAATGAATATTTCTGTTTTTCAACTTACGTTCTATAGCACTGTGCACCGCGTCCCCCTCCATTTGCGTATGTCCAACCTCGAGGAACTTTTGAGTTATGGTAACGCCATGATGCATACAAAAATTTAACAGTGCATTGGCAAGAATTGCATTTCGATTTTGGCTTGTGCATCCGTCTGTAAAAAGAATAATTGGTAAGCGCTTAGATAAACAGTGTCTTTCCAGGTAATCTATTAATAATGAGGCAAAAGTGGAAGCTGTAACATCACTGTCGATTTCGGAAAACCAGTAGCAGGTGGCGTGATGGGTAGTCGTGTCGTATACTGTGAAATTATGGCATGCCAATTTGGTTTTAAAATAGATCGCACTGGCAGTTATACAGGGACTAACTTTAACTGCTTGTACATCAGCGGTCAATAAAATGCATTCATTTCTTACTGCCCTTTCTTTGTCACACATTTTTTCATTTCTAGCTTTGTCCTTATTTTTTATGTGTTGCTGGTAAAGTTCTTCACTTAAATTACCAACGGAGTGTGCTACACAGGTGTCACACATGTCCTTTTTTAACTGGTGAATGGACAAATTCTTGCTATGAAATACTTCATTAAACTTTTTCATCGAGAATGCGGAGGTATTTTTTGATGAACAGTATTCTTTATAGATATTATATAGATTGGATTGCGATTTGTAAAGTGGTTCTAGGAAAAGTTTATTAGTATTTTTTCGATTATAGTGGGATGGCATTTTAGGTAATGCATCCAAAAAGTTATCGAGATGTCTAGTCTGCATCTCAACATCAACCCTACTAGTTTTTTTTCTATTCAAGTTGGCATTGTTTTGTGATGGATGCATACCGTAACGACCTTTTTTAACCCATGATTGAACCGTAAATGAACCCAAACAAAGGGTGTTGAGGAACATGATTCGACATACAGGCCGTCGAAGTGTGTTCCCATGCTCATCATTTCCTGGTAGTGAAAATTGGAGAGTATTACTGCGTCTAGACGTATTTTCTGTAGTATTTCGTTTTGTACTTGTTGTATGGACGTTAGTAGATACAAAAATTTTTCTCTGGTCCCATGTTAGGTCGGACCAAAAATGGTGAAATAGATTTTTTCTGTCTTCGTCACTTACATACTAAGGGTTCACATACCCTTTTCTTGCTTCTTTTGCAGAAGTTTGATTCACACCTTACTCCCAATATTCTTTCCGGTCGCATTTTATTTTGTTTCATTCTTTCATGTTTTGGATTTGTGTAACCCAAGTATTTTTTGCCTTGCATCCTAAGTAGTTTGTTATAATTTTTTTTCCATTGCCCTTTGTCTCCTTTTCTTTTACGTGAATTTCCTTCTCTCAAGTCTCCATGGAAAACTTCTTGGGTGTATGTTACATCATCTGCGTCAGTTAGCAGCTCAACTGGAGAAGAACAAGGAGATACTGCTTCTTCGGATGGTTGGTAACTACTACTTGTATAATATTCTGAAAATTCACTCGAATTAGAACTTGAATCTGCTGAATTCAAGGAAGCGTCTTTTTGTGTCAATGGAAATGTTTGTGTTGAACATGGTTCAACGTTTGAAAGTGTTTTTGATAACTCAGTAGGTGTAGGTGTATTTAGTGTAATGTCACACTCCTCATTTCGTGAAGATATGGGTTGTTCAAATGGTGTAGTAATTGGAGGCGTAATTGATGGTGGTAAGGTCAGAGGCAACTGTGCATTACAACGGTCTAGAATCTTGCGAGTTCTAGGCAACATGTCTATCTGTAATGAAAAAACAATAACTACTAACTGTTATTTTGCGAAGCTTCATAACTTAATCGTTAGTATAATAATTATTGACCTGATATTAACAGTTATTAATCTATACGACTTAAAATACGTATTTCATTACAAATGTAAAAGATTAACATCATAATCATATCGTCATGACAGTCAAAATACTATTACTTTTAATTAGCCAAAGAACTGTTAAACACGGAAATACCTCCTATCTTAAATATGCCCTATTATACAAAAGTTAATTTACTTTACATTTACAAGAATACCAATACCTCCTATCTAGAAAACATGACTAAAAAATAGTATGGCATCATAAAACCATACATTTTAACGCGAGTTATTAGTAAACTATTTATAATAAATACTATTTACAATAAACATGCTAAAATATACAATAAAACTTACATTTTGTTTTGGATTTGTTTGGAGCAACACGTGTCTGTCACAATATTAGTATAGGTTATACGGAAGATAGAAGTTGTTGCTTCTTTGAAAATTATGGATACATTTAGAAGGTATTGTCATACAAAGAGTTTCTCACATTACAGATTACGTACAGATACGAGTCATTGGCACATAATACATTTCGCTATACATTAGTAGATGGCGTAAAAACCTCATTTTCGACAAAATTGTTAGATAGGAGGTATTGGCGGTAAGCAGTCGATATGTAATTAAAAAAACATTTTGTTTTGAATGTTTGGTTACATACTCCACGTGGCTAATTGGAATGACATCTAGTTTTAAAATTTGTTAATATAATCTATACTTAAAGTAATTGTGTTTGTTATTACAAACCATTATATATCAACCGCAATTAATGTTTCTATATAAAAAAGGATACATGATACTGGCGATACGTATAAAAATATCAACGAATAGAAAAGATAGTGACAACTATCTTCTGAAAGTAATTCTGCAGCAAATTGTCTCGTGAATTGCACTCTGCCTATCCTTTGATGTAATCTCAATGCACTGATAGCTGCATTTGCTAGGAGTACTTTGTAGTAGTAATTGTAAGGATTTCTGAAACAAAAAAACAATAATTAGTATAATTATGAAGCGTTTTGATATGTTAGTATAAAAGATGGCAAAAAATTCAAATTTATTTAGAAATTTAAAGTCAAATTCAGATCCATCCAGATCATGGACGTATAAACACAGATGGACTCAGTTATTTACATAAAATTGTGAAGTCTGTTGTTTTAAAATTTCTTATTCGCGAGTCGCTGAAAATATTACTCCGTATTTTATACTCTACAGGTGTTATCAAACCAAAATAATAATTTATTGGTTAGATTAATATATTTAATTGTAATCAAAATATAAAGTGTGCACATAGTGTGCATTATCATTTAATAATAACGTATAATTTAGATATCAATCAATTATTTTATATGTAGAAGCACTGAAAACTATTTATAAATGGCAACGATTGTTTAAATTTCTCTGTCTTATGGATCTACGTCAAACTTCAAATGCTGTTCCATGTTTGTTTACTTTTTAGTAAAAGTTGTTTTTCGATATTTTGGCTGTATTTTGAGTAATATTTGTGAAAAGTGAAATAAAATAAACGAAATATTTACATCCCGATCTCTCATTTCATTTGTAAATACATAAAATTTACATTATTTAAGATGAGGAAATGAGGAAGCGTGTTTGTTTACATTTTAATAGGCGTACCATTGGGTTTATTCATGTTCATTCATGTATTAAATAAGATATAAGTGATGAAATTAGTAGACATTTTTAAATTGTAAGTAGACATCATCTGATTAAAAAAGATCTATTTAGTACCTTTTTAATTTAATATTTCTCATGGATGCAAATAAATTAGTGAAATGAATAAAACTCATTTATTTTTCTATGTAGGTTTCCAAATAATATTGACGATCGAACTATTTAGGTAGCAAATTTAGGAGAAAACATAAAGATTTTTTATTGTAGCATTATTTTGATACCTATTAAAAATTAACTTGAATTCAACTATATTTTATTGTATTAATTTTAAAGCAAATAAAATTGTATTTTAATTTTTCTATAAAGATGTGATTTGTTAATAGTTAAACTCTCGTTTTTTTAAATTCTTTGAACGTGTTTTTATACATTATTACTACTTCCAATTTTTAAAATCTGAATAATTACTTGCGAGTAAAAATTCAAGCACGCTGATGCTCATTTCGGAAGCATCACATTCTATCGAAGCTTCAAAACATTGTGTGTTAAAGGTATCTTATTGCTGTGTCCATCTATGTTTATACGTCCATGATCCAGATACATTTGAACATGATTGACAGAACAAATTTTATTGCACGTGAGAAGAAACCAAATAAAACATCATAAAACAGTGACGAAGATTTTCTAAAATAAAATATTCAGCATTGTTCTGAAAATGTTTGGGTTTTACCTAAAATTTTTAAACATACCAATTTATTTCAATTATTGTCTTAAATTTCAAAAAGGGCAGGGTGAATTTATAAGCCCTCAACTTTCTTAGAAAGGATTAAAATTTCTAACCGACCAATGTCATTTAACCATGCCAATTAAAACTTAGTGTTAAATGTACAGTTGCGGTCACGGAATAGTTTACACCTTACTTTTTATATTGTAATACTGTAAAATTGCAGTGTCGTACGGATTTGATAAATGTCAAAGTCAAAAAATTTCAAAACGTCAATGCTTTCGCGAGTGTTCAACAATAAAATAAAAGTATATTAAACTCTTCCAAAATGGTTAGAATACATTTGAATTATGCGCAATAAGCAAGAGCAATTGCCAAACTCGAAGAAGGTTGGTCACTAAGGCAAGTTGCTGCTGATTTGAACGTGAGTCATATGTGCATATGGAAGATTAAACAAAGATGGGATAATTTTCACTCTATAGCACGGTTGGGCGGGTCAGGAGGGCAGAAGATTTCCACAGATCAACAGGATGAGATGTTAGTAGATTATTTGAGAGAATCTCCTTTTGCCACAGCTCAAAAGGCAAGAGAAGAGGCAGCGTTTCCAGGCAGTATTCGCACTGCACGTCGAAGAATTAAAGCAAGTGGACTGCTAAATTGTGTAGCTGCACGGAAACCTTTTTTGACTGAGGATCACAAGAGGAGACGAGTTGAATTTTGTAATGAATTTATAAACCGCGATGAGAATTTTTGGTCTAGGGTTGTATTTTCCGATGAAAAAGTATTTCAGTCGTATAATAATGGTCGAATAAGAGTTTATAGGCCGAGAAATCATAGGTATGATGAACAGTATACGCATCATTTAAGAAATAGTGGAGGATTCTCTGTCAACGTATGGGGATGGATAAGTGCCGAAGGCCCGGGCGTTTGTTATCATGTAGAGGAGAAGTTAACAGGATTATATTACAAACATATTATTGAGCACACAATGTTGCCATCGGTGATCCAGAGATTCCCCAACAACGACTTTATCTTCCAACATGACAATTGCCCGGTTCATACGAGTAGAATTGTTCGAGAATGGCTAGAAGAAACTGATGTTAATGTTCTTCCGTGGCCTTCCCGTAATGCAGACTTTAACCCCGTCGAAAATGTGTGGGCAGAGTTAACAAAGAAACTAAATGAAAGAAACCTTAGACCACGGAATAGAATTGAATTATGGGAAGCAATTGAGCAGGCATGGGAAGAGCTTGTTAACTATAACATGAGGGGATTGGTGCTATCTATGAACAGAAGACTGCAAAATTGTATTGACAAGAATGGGGCTTCCACCAAATATTAATTATTATTTATCATTGTTTATCGTTATTTAATATAAAATAGATTTAAAATAAAATGCATATTAAAAAAAAAGACTTCTTTATTTTCGTTATTAAGATCATAATCCATTTTATTCAAAAAACTGTTTTCTATATTTTTCATTTTGTAAAATATTTTGATATTTTAATTTTAATCTACCTATTCTAGCTAGTACACCACTGGCAACGTCACTTTGACGTAAAAGGTGCGTTTTAAACGAAGTAAAAATTTAAAAAATGGGCTCCTAGATACGTGAACCTGTAAACTATTCCGTGACCGCAACTGTACATGATACTCTTGTATATGAACATTTCGCAATTACTGTTCGGAGTATAGTTTAGGTATAGGTGTTCAGATATGACAGATAGGTACTTATAGACTTTTGATTTTGAAACAATCGATTCGAAGAAAAGTTCATTCGTTTTATTTATAAAAAAAGATTCTTACTTTGGATAAATTTTTAGTAGACATTAATGAAGACGAATCTTTGCCAAACATTAAAAGAGATGAATAGTGAAAAACTGTAAGTGAATTAGGATTCGTTTATGAGAATAACAATAGAAAATATGCGCTCATAAAGAAAGAAGAAATTATTTGTTAGTGAAAGCAATTATTAAGGGAAACTCGAAAATTTAGGACAGGAAACATGGACAAATGAAGGGCATATTGTAAAAAAGTTTGGCAAGATAAAACGGTTACAAATGCTCGTGTGACATTTATAGAAGAATTCCTTTATAAAAGGTATATTAATATAAAAATCCTATTGGGCTCTATCACAAAACCTTTTCGGAATAACTTAGGAATTGATCACATGGCATGTGATCAAATTATAAACATCATAGTTTTTAAATATCAAAGATGTAATTCAAAGTTAATCTAACTACATTTAAAGGGTTTTTAGGCACCCCGATGCGCATGGCCCGGCTCAAAATATCTTCGATTTTTGCTATTGGCCGAGTGATCTGAAAATGTCATATAGAAACATAAATATGGGATATTTTCAACTCTCGGACAGTCTGGTCTTGGCTCCCCGATCGATCTCGGCATATAGGGTCTCCTGTGCTCTGGTAGTCCGTTATCGGGGCTCTGCTGCGGTTCTTCGAACTCGACTCTGAAGCTGGACCTTGTCCACCTTCTAAGCTGTGTTTCGTTTCATTTCTCATGTGAGAAATATCGATTATCCACCAAAGATAGAATCTACGCAGAGGGCACTTCGAATTGACTGGTCGAAGTCCCTCTGTAAGGCACCGTGGGAATGGATAAGTGGCCGTAGTTTTCCAGGCCCTTCCTTGCCATTTGATGACCATATTTAGTGGCTTCAAACATGTAAATCCAGATAGCACTGTTGATGGAATAGTTATTCCAAAACGTTTGTTTTTTGTGCGATGTTGGGATTTGATTAGTTATTTATTTTGTACACAGCTAGACGCCTTCTTTAAGTCATTAAATCAAAATTTGTATAGTATAAATTATATAGTATATATATATATATATATATATATATATATATATATATATTATATATATATATATATATATGATATATTATATGATGTATATAATTATCTTCTTCTTCTTCTTCAAGTGCCCTGTCCGTTGCGAACGTTGGTTATTAACATGGCAATTGTGATCTTGTTTGCGGCGCTTCTGAATAGTTCGACCGATGTGAGCCCAAACCACTTCCGCAGATTTTGGAGCCACGATTGTCTTCTCCTGCCTGGCCCTCGCTTACTGTCTATTTTTCCCTGGACAATCAATTGTAGCAGACGGTACTTATCGTGTCTCAATATGTGGCCTAGATATTCAAGCTTTCTTTGTTTAATTGTATTCACGATCTTTTTCTCCTTTCCGATTCTTTGGGGTACCTCTATGTTGGTGACATGTTCGGTCCAGGATATACGAAGAATGCGTCGGTACACCCACATTTCTAATGCTTCTAGTTTCCTCTAGCTCTAGTTTAGCGTCTCCGTCAGCGTCCAGGCCTCCACGCCATACAGCAAGATCGGAAAAATGTAGCATTTAACTAGACGTAGTTTTAGGGGAAGAGACAAATCCTTGCTTATGAGGAGCTTTTTCATATTGTTAAATGCTGCTCTAGCTCGTTCTATTCTCGCCTTAATTTCTATGGTCTGTTCCCATTTTGCATTTACGTTGGTGCCAAGGTACACATAAGATTGTACATGATCAGTTAGTATGTTACTTATCCGTAATTGTCGAGCAGGTTGTTGCTTTTTGCTTATCAGCATCCACTTTGTCTTCTTGAAGT